CTGTAGTCTCCTATACCAGTACCTAAATTTATGCTCACATTGGGATTATTTACTAGCTGGTCTCTACACTTCCAGGCACTTACTTTATGGCAGATCTGCCAGGCTTGATCACGTGGACCTGGAAGGAACCCAACAAGAACCCATCAAGGCTTCTACCAGTCCCTAGGTGCCTGAGCATATTCCCCTTCTGAAATATCTTTTCCTATCTTGTCAATCTAGAAACCATCTGCATTAAAAAAAAAAAAAAATCTAGTTAATACCTCTTCTTTTGTTAATCTTCCTGGGTTTACTTTCCTTTCTCTCTTCCCATATCCTAATGAAGACTGTTGAGTATTTCTTCTACTATGATGAGTTACACGTCAGTTTTCCTGACTAAATTACACGTTCCTTGTTGACAGTGTACTTTCTCAGCTCTGCATCTCTGTACCCCCCTATGAAGTTGGCACTCTGAAACATTTTAAGTGTTGTGATTACTATGCTTTGTTTCTTTATAATGGGATCATCCACTTGCATTTCAAAGTGCCTAAAGCCATTCCAGAATTGTGACTGTTGGTTTGGGGGAGAGAAAAGGAGGCTGTGTATAAAGGAGGAATTCATTACAATAGATCTAACTCATCTAATTTCCAGAACTCACATAAATGATAAGACTATATGACAAAGATTTCTACACAAATTATGTTATTTATAACTGCAAAATAATCTTAAAAATTGAAAACTAATGTGCGACTTAGAAGTTCATTCAATGGATCCTTTAAAAATAGTATCTCTGATGAATGTTTAATAGGAAAGATGTTGGTCATTCCAATCAAGTAGTGGTATATCATAATTACCACCATAAAATGTAAAGTCTTCTAGAAAGAGATTGGTTTAAAAATATTTAGAAAAAAGCCTGAAATAAACTATACAGTTAGCAGTATTTATCTCTGGATAATTTTCTACCACTAATGCCATTCAAAAAAAATTATTAAGCATCTATCCATTTGCTAGATTATTCCTGTTACCCTAGAACTAAATGTGGTATATTTGCATAACTGATCACAAAGTCAAAAGCAGTGTTAGAGAAATACAGGGATTCCCTTACCAAATTTACAATCTACAAAAAGTTTTTTAAAAAATCCTAGAATTCTTCTAAAACTAGACTGGCAAGAATTCTGGTACAAATTGGTAAAATGGCTTGTGCTGTTGATTGGACTGTGATAGTGACACTGCCATTGTTTTGTGTGCACAAATCATTTGTGAACAGAAGTGCTAGCAATACTTTATCTACAGATTTCCCCTTCTTGTTAGCAAGTTTTGAATTTTACAGTCATTTCAAATAGAATTTGCCTAGTTGCAGTTTGGCCCTTCATCCATCATCCACCACATTCGTTTTTCTTTTGGGTTTCTGTCCCCTCTAACATTCCCTGCTCTGTCCTCAAAGATTTCATGCATTTATCTAAAAGAATCCACACATTCCTCCTTTTCCTTCAACAGAAGAGTAATTTGAGATCGAACTTGCACCTCTTGAGGATTCTTAGGGAAGGTTTGGAGAAGACCTGTGTCTTTTTTCAAGAGTGTAAAAATAATTCACAAAAGCCGGGTATGGTGGTGCACGCCTTTGAGCCCAGCACTTGGGAGGCAGAAGCAGGCAGTTCTCTGTGAGTTCAAGGCCAGCCTGGCCTACATAGTGAGTTCCAGGCCAGCTGCGGCTACTGGGAGACCCTGTCTCAAAAAGACCAAAAAAAAAAAAAAATATTAGGGGCTGGACAGATAGCTCATTGGTTAAGAGCTCTGGCTGCTCTTGCAGAGGACCTAGGTTCGATTCTCAACACCCACTTGGTGGATAACTGTTCCTAATTCCAGTTCCAGGGAAATCCAGAACTGGGAGACCCTGTCTCAAAAAAGACCAATAATAATAATAATAATAATAACAACAATAATAATAATTCACAAAGAATCCCAAGGCTCCAGTCCTTTTAAAGCCCCTGCTTCACAATATACCTTGGGCATAAGAAGGTGGAGCTACCAAGTAGAAGAGTGACTAATAAGGCTGCATCATTTTTCTTACTGTTTTTGCTAGTTTGTTTCATGGATTGAAAATGCTTTTAAAGCTCCCTAGGATTTTTGGTTTATTTTAGATACACAATCATAAATAATAAAAATCATTCTAATTGCCTTAAAAATTTCAACACAGTTTGAATGCTTCATGCTTTAAGCATATTAAGAAGTATAAATGGAAAACATTCCATAGTATTTAGATTACTGATAGTAAATATGCTATAAAACAGCTTTTTCAGAAATGTTTTCCCAGAGAACTCAAATTAGTATTCATTCTTCTGCCTTTTAGGAAGGACTTACACTGTGCCTGGTCTAATTCTAGTGTTACTTGAGATAGAACAGTGAACAAAACAGATAAAAATCCATACTTCTATGGAGTGTTTATTGGATCAAAATAGACAAAGAAAAAATAAGTAAAACATTTTGTTAGATGGTCATTATCACAAAGGAAAAAAAAGTAGGGGAAAAAGATGCAGAGGTATGTATAAAAGAAAGGAAGGAAGCCAAGAAGCTGTCTGAGAATATTCTAAACAGAGGAAATAGGAAGAACAAAGACTCCAAAGCTGGAAGATGCTTACTATTGTTTAAAGCACAGCAAGCAGGCCAGCCTGGCTGGGGCAGAATGAGAGAGGGGAGAGTGCTGGATGAAGAGAGAGATAAGGATAAAGTGCTGGGGCTTGCGAAAAGAGAATTTGAAAAATGCTCACAGGGACAGGAGTGATAGCAACAGGTGGAAAAGGGGGTAGGAGGCAACCCCAGGTAACTAGAGCAAAACAAAAGACAAGAAGACAGAATGTCTAAAAGCATGCTCAGGGATCAGAGGCTAGCCTCCTATGCATGGACAACACATAATGTGTGAGTATGTCTATGAAGGGGGGGAGATGAAGAGGGTGTGATAAATATTTAGCTTTGGAGTCTCTGTTGAGTTGGAGAATTAGGCAGTAAGTTGTCCATTTAACATCAACTTTGCTTTCCCTGGCAAGAACAAAATGCAGCTCCCGAGAGCAGCTTTAGTTGTTCTAGCTATAAAGAGAAAGGTGGTCTTGGCAAGATCTTTGTGGGGAAAATAACCTCTTCTAAGTTTTCTTGTAGTAAAGAAAGAAAGAACTGGAATGTAGAGTATTGTATAATTATCATGAACGGAACCAAACTGGTCTAATTCATAGTGAATCATAAGATGATGATTAAAAAATGAGACTGAGAAGGCAGAAGGGAATTTCAATTTTTAAAGAGCAAGCATTCTCTAAAATGGCTAATCCATGTATAAACAATTAAGAGCTAACTACTTCTAATTTTACATAAAGAAGGGAATTCCATTATAATTATTCATTTTATAATTATGCATTTTAGCAAGGCCAGAGTTGGGGCCTTGCTCACAGTTCAACAACCCAGAGCCTTAGTGTAAAGATTCAAATGGCTGTTCAAGGGGTAAAAAGCCTGTCCATTAATGTTCACCTCAGAATCAAACAGTGCTAGAGCTATTGCAATACTATCTTGAATTATTATTATTAACAGAGAGAAACTTACTCAAAAACAAGTAGGAAGATTTGTTTTCCTTGCTTACTACCACCTGTGCAAGACAATAGACCTCAAAGGAGTTAACCGACCGATTACTCATACCAAACAAGGCCATTTCAGCTGCATGCAAGGTTGCTGAGGCAATACATCAATATCAAACATCAAACTGTAACAAAAAGCAAAAAAATTTTTCTTACCATATGTAAGAATGGCACTATTTTTCCCTTTTTGGAACAGAAAGCACAGCCAATATAAGGGAACCTCCAGAAAATCTCTTGTCTCTTGACCCTTCGAAAACACAGCTGACTGAGGGAACTGGTAACTTTTTTTTTTTAATTGCAAATTACAAATAACTCATCATTGTCTTAATACAAGAGCACAGTAAGATGACAGCAGCTCCTATGCTCTCATGTTTATGGAATGTTATAAACCCCAAAGAGAGGAACTGTTGAAGTAGAAAAACTCATCAAGTTATATTTTTCATCATTAACCAGATACAAATTTAGTGTGCGTGTGTGTTAGTGGGCGCCTGCGCATCCAGGTTTGTGGCGGTCAGAGGGTAACTTGCAGGAGTTTGTTCTCTCCTTTGACCAGGTAGGTCCTGGGGATGGATCCAACTCAGGTCATCAGGCTTGGAGGCAAGGGCCTGTGAACCACCTCACAATCCTCACCCACCCCCACCCCCAGCCCCACCCCCAATATCTTTCTCCAAGGGATCATGTTTGCAACAGATTATTTTAATTCAGTGTCCAGCTGCTTACAGTTAAAATCCAGAGACCCACTTTCATACAACTTTAAAAATTTTTTTTTAATTTATTATTTTTTTATTTTATGTGTATGCGTATATTGCCCGTGTGTAGGTAAGTGCACCCGTGTCGTGCAATGCCACGGAGGACAGAAGAGGGTGTGGGATCCCCTGGAACTGGGGTTACAGGACAGTTGTTAGCTGCCATGTGGGTGCTGGAATTCGAACCCGGGTCTTCTGCAAGAACAACCAGTGTTCTTAACCGATGAGCCATCTCTCCAGCCCCAGATTATTTTAATTCAGTGTCCGGTTGCTTACAGTTAAAACTCAGACACCCAGTTTCATACAACTTTTTAAAGTGAAGTTCATCCACCAAAAACATTAAAAAAAGATTTTTAAATGCCTTAATTTGCAATATTCTTTCATGCCTGGTGCCTTCCGTGAAGCTTTTCCGTGCTAACACTGAAACATCCTTCAGAGTCATTTCAATACTATAAATAAGCTTTAAAACCACAAAAAAGTACAACCGTGGTTTGGAACCGTGTGGTTAGTTCTGCTTGTCGATAGCGATGGGTGCAAATCAAGAACTGAGGGTGCTCGGGACCAAGTGGCAGGTTCTGGGCAGCTTCCTGCCCCACAGGCCACCCGGGGGAGTATCTGGCAGGCCCCCAGCACTCCCAGGACCCAGACCCGGCCTCACCTTGTAGACGTCCCCGTAGGTACCGCTGCCGACCCTTTGGACCAGCTCGTAGTCGTGCTGCGGGTTCCGCCTCAGGATGTCGGCGGCAGGCCGCAGCGGGGCCTCCATCTTCGCTCCGGGCCCGGCCCCCGCCGGTTCTGCCCGCGGCGCCCCGATTCCCGCTAACGCCGAGCGGCGCCGCTTCCCAACATGGAGCCTCAGCCCGCAGCTCCGCCTGCACGAGACAAGGAGAGCAGGTCGGCGCTGCGGCCCAGCCCGGGCCTCCCGCCGCCCTCAGCCAAGGCGGCCCCGCCGGGAGGGTCCGGGAGTCGCGCAGCTTCGCGCCGCGGCCTTCGCCCCGCGCACTCCCGCCAGGCCTCCCACCCGGCCTCTCCGTGCCGCGCGTACCTGAGGGCGGCCCGACTCTTTGTGGAGGCCGCGCCCGGGACCCGCGTCCAGCACGGTAACCGCAGCCGCCTCCCCCGCGCCCGCCCACCAGCCCGCCGCTCCGGGTCTTGCCCGCCGCCCGCTGCCGCGCGTCCTTCCCGGAGACGGCCGAGACCAGTACGGTCGCCGCCGCCCCACGTTCCCCACCCGCGGCTGCGTCACCGGGAGACACGTTCCCGGCCAGCGTGGGTCGCCGCCCGGCGACCCGCCCGAGCGAGCCGGCCGCGGGACCAGAGCGCCGCCCTGAGGCCGGCCGGGGAAGCACAGCCTCCCGCGGCCCGCCGCGCCCCCTGGCCGGCCTGTCCTCCCCGGGCCTGGGCTCTCCCACTCGGGGAGTTGGGGGGCATCCCTGGGCTCTCGTGCAGCCACGGACCTCGGCCAGGACCGGTCCCGGATGCGACAGGTAGACAGCAGGGTGGCGGGTAGAGAAGGCTGGGCACGCGGGCAGCGGGAACGCAGCCCTTCAGGTTCCACACGGAAAAGGTAAATTGAGGGCACTGGGCCAGGAGGAACCTGACAGTGGGGTGCCAGGGAACGAAGGGGAATGCCAGGTTAACTTAATGCCGGCACACCCTACTGCACCTTCCCGTTTTGCAAACTCTTCCCAGTGGTACCAGTTTGAGGATGGACTGCACAACTGCACAATCTGTCTTCCACGGAGGTTTTCCGAGACAGTTCTGAAAGCCCCGATTCCTAAGAAGTTTCAATGGTCTTTGTCCCTGTTGACCTCAGCTTTGCAACTTTCATGGGACCAAAAGCTAGGGGCCTTACCCTGTGGACACTTCCTCAGTAAGTGATCGCATTTGGCAACATCTCAGTGTGCTTATCTGTAGTTGGAGGAGAATAAGATTTTGCATCTGACATCCGAGAAATGTTTGTAAAGCATTTTACAGGACTGTAAAGAGGATTATCAAATGTGAGAGGTTTTAAAATACTTAATGCACAGAGTATTGAGCAAGAGTCCAGAGAAGTAATTTGGCTAATATTTCATAATGTGTTTTGCAGTTTCAGTTCCAATCTTGTTCTGAGGGTAGAAATTAAGTTACCAGCTTTATGTGTACTGTAGAGTTATTTCTAGAATCCTGCAGAGATTTTCAATACAAAAAGCAGATAATTGATGCAAACAGACTACATTTAAAGTGACTGAAAAAAATCACAACAGAAAAGTTGCAGATGACACATGGCTTCTAACACAATTCAGTTCTGTTCTTGAGAAATATACTTATGGTCTATAATTATAATTAATTGTGAAATGAAGAAATTAAATTAACACCTTAACAGAACAGGGAATATATGAATTTTCTTGTGCTCCACACACAAAGGGCACTTATTTAGGGAACATAAGTAAGCCCAGACATACAAGCTCCAAGGACAAAGCCTATGTGTTTGCTGCATTGAAAAAAAATTGTTGAGGAACAGTTCCTTCTTTCAAAGCTTCTTGGCACTTGTTTTGGTGGGCACATACTTTTGGCTTCAATGACTCAAAATCTCTTCAAAAGTTCTATTGGTATCTTAGTACTTGTTTACTGTCATGGTTCATGTTGGTCGTCAAACCCGCCATTACCCATTCTGAGATTAGGGCTAACAATGAACATTCAGGGGTTGAGGGGCCTCTACTAGTTTGTCCTTAGAGTAGTCAGATAAATTTGGAGGATGACAGTTATATGACTGGATAATGATACAGACCTCCATGTTCAATATGGAAAAGGGAGCATTACTTCTTTGTCTAGTCTGAAATGTATTTTTTTCTTTTCAAAAAATAGTTTTATTCATCTTTGAGAATTTCATATCATGTATTTTGATCATATTAACCTCCAGCTCCTCTTAACTCCTCCCAGGTTCATTTCCACCCCCCATCCCCCCCCCCGCACTTTGTGTCCTCTTTTTAATTTTTTTTTTTTTTTTACTTATATGGGCATTAGCCCGCAGAGAATTTGAGGACACACACACACACACACACACACACACACACACCACTTATTTTTACACAAGATAAAAATAGGTGAGGAAACTGCATGAAATTTAAAAGGGGGAAACAGGAAACCAGAACAATGCAACCAAAAAAAATTTGACAAAAGCTGAAGATTTGATAGTTTTGTGGATTTGTTTTCTTTTGTTTGTTTGTTTTGATAAAGATGAACTAGTTGATCAAGAGAGGCATATCTTTACTTGCTGCTAAGGCTGCAGAAATATTTCTCTCAAGAGCCTTCATAAAGTGGAAATTCTGAATACCCTGTTTGAGACAAGGATAAATATCCTTCTGACAGTCCTTTAAGTATGTTATTCGTGATACACAGTATTTAAAATGAATTACGCAATAAAAAGTTTGAGGTCACAGGCTTCAGTGAGACCCTGGAGTGAAGACAGTTTATGTGTCTGTAATGGCAGATCCATATGCTTTGACCATCAGCCCAGAAGCGGATGACATGGAAAGCCAAGATTCTGTGTGGTGGTTAAAAATAGTGTCTGCTATAGTCATTATTTTACTTGTACCACAAATGATGCAAACAGGAAAACACTTGCTTTATACTAACTCCAGAGGAATTTAAAGATTTTTCTTTTTAGAACTGGCTGAGTTAATTTCAACAAGATCAGGTTGCTTGCTAAAGAAATTAAAATTCAATTTCCTTACAATAAATAAACTAGGAGCATCTTAAACAATTAAGCATATAATTTCAAAGTTGGAAGTTATAGAATCATTATAGTGAAGGAACTCTTACTATTCAATTTTATGACAAGGGGTAAGAAAAGATATTAATAAGGTCTTCATCCAAAACTAATTAATATATAGTTTAATGGTTTTATCACGCTTGACGTGTGTTTACCAGCTTCTTGACGTGTGTTTACCAGCTTTTTTTTGTTTTCTTTTGTACTACTTTTATTAACAAGTCCTTCATCCAAAACTAATAAATGTTTTAATGGTTTTATCATGGTTGACATATATTTTCCAGTTTCTTTTCATTTTGTTTTTATTTTACTACATTTTATTTATTTATTTTGGGGGTGGGGCACATGCCATGGTTTATGTATGGAGGTCAGAGGGCAACTTGCAGGAGTCCATTCTTTCCTTCCGCCATGTGAATCAAACTTAGGAGCCAACAGCCTTTACTCTTTTATTTAGCAAACTATAGTGATTTGCTCTGTTTTATAACATTTTTCCCTTCTTTCAAAGTTCTTCAGTAAAATATTGTTGTACTTAGTTATCTCTAGATACAACTTTAACTTTAGCCAAGGCTAAATGGCAGTAAGAAACGAGGCCATAAAATGTTTTCTGTTTTGCATAGCTAGGGTTCAAAATTTATTATCCAAGAGAAAATGATTAATTGAAATCTTAGCATTTGACAGGAAAGCCCATAAAGACAATTTTAATCTATAGAACATATGGATTTAAGCAATATGATCTTTTGATGAGTCTTTCAACATAAACAAGTAGTACAGTGTAACTTTATATGATTGAATGAACAGCCCATACATTTGCTATATATCAATCAATAATTATTGGATGACATTGCAACAATTATGACCTGAATTTTCAAATAGTTGATATTAAATTATTCTTTCTGCTATTTGTTAAGATTCTTCTCTATTAAGGTGAAAACCATGAAAACAATTGCTGCCTTTTGTTCTACGTAAGAATATAGCATGGTCTTATTCAGAATTAAGATCTGAGCATTCTGATGAATGCTTTGAGAAGAAGTGAAGAAAGAAGTACCTGATTATATAACTTGAATTGATCTTTGGATATGTTAAGAAATTGTTTCTAGCTAGGGGCTGGAGAGATGGCTCAGTGGTTAAAAGCACTGGCTGCTCTGGTGAAGGACCTGGATTCAGTTCCTAGCACCCACATGGTGAGTAACAACTGTCTGTAACGCCAGTTCCAGGGGATCTGATGCCTTCTTCTGCCCTCCTCGGGTATTGCACGACACAGGTGCACTTACATACATGCAGGTAATACACTCATACACATAAAAGTAATAAATAAAATGTTTAAAAAAGAAATTGTTTCTACTGACTTTAATCCTTAGGGTGATTTTAAAGATTGTGTGAGAATTGGCACAAGGGTTTCTGTATTTGGCTCACAAACTTGTCTGTTTTCAAATTCAATAGCTAAGAAAAGACAACAAATTACAAATAATCTTGTGCTATTCTTATTGGGTTCCTCACATTTTAATAGGTAAAATGTCTGAAAGGGTCCCTGAAGTTGCCGATACTTCATATAGACTAGTGTTATGAGCAGAGGAGGCCGCAGTACCTGGCTATGGCCCCTTCCTGCAGCTACACATCTCAGAGGAGTCTAGCAAGATCTCCTTTTGGAGGCAGGGAGGATGATAATGACTTCTCACTGTTTCTAGTCCCAGGGTGTTTTACAATGTCTTCTTGATTACTTTAACCCTGTCCTTATTTTTGTAAGCAGTTCTTATGTTAGTTTGTCTTTATGTACTATCTGGACTTGGTTTTAGGTGTGAAGTGTACTGCCAAATGCTCATGTGTTAAAGATTTTTATCCCTAGCTGGTAGATCCAATCATTAATTTAATAAATTAATCCATGAATTAGGTCAAAACCCTAATCATCCTAATTTGACCTAATGATGGATTAATTAATTAATGGCATAAAATTTTGAATGGACTTTTGAGGGTGTTGGAAACTGTGGAAGGCGGGGCCTCATTGGAGGAAGCTGGTCATTGGGAGCATACCTTTGAAGGGTATTTCTTGTGCCTAGCCCTCTTCTGTTTCTCTTTCTGGCTGCCATGAGAAGGAGCAGTTTGCTCCATTAGGCCCTTCTCCCATGATATCCTTCCTCACTGTAAAACCAGAAACACTGTAACCAGCTGTCCATGGCCTGTAACCTCTGAAAGATTTTAAGTTTTAGGTTGTTCTCATCAAGTATTTTGTCACAGTGATGAAAAGTAGACAGACACATACTCTGTTATGAGGATTCTATACAGTCAGTCATGTTATTATGTACATAACCTCTTCTAGGAGGGCCCAAAGGATTTACCCTTATCAGGATAGTGAGTAATGGGGTATGGATATCCTTGCAAACTTCTTTGGTGACTTTCCTCGGTAGGTTGGAGATGATGATGCCATAGAAAAA